GCGTCTTTAAAGCATAAGAATGAGTCTTATCCACAGGCTTCCACCAAGAGGAGTGTGGTTGTGTTATTGTTATATGACTTCAGGAATAAAATCGTAGACATCTGTATTTACAGAGTGTGATGTTTTGTAATTTTTAAGCTGCCAACAATGTGTATTCTACTAGAAAATACAGATGGTTCAAGTCACATGCGCAGAAAGCGGTCCTGGCCGAATGTAGATCCTTTTATCTAATTCTTTCTGCTTACATTCTCCTGTCACATGTTCTACCTCCTGACAAATACTGTGATTCTTCATTGGATCATTTCAATCGAATTTTGTAAAATTACTCATTAAATCCTTTGTCATGTGTTAAATTTTTTTCTGATAATTTTCTTCTCTCTGTACGCCATCATTTTTCTTCTTGAATAGCTGTAATGTAAGAACGATTATGGACTTTTTGAAAATTACCTAATGTCAATTGTGTAAGTTAAAGAAAACTAGAAGAAAAGATAAAATATACACAGTTTGCATGTAGATTGTAATTAGATTAATGATGATCACTTTGTATGTAGTGTAGCGATTTAATATAAAAGGAAAACTAATTTGTCAGGATAACATATACTAGGTTAAATATATTCGATGAATAGATGATACCAATGTATAGGTAATATAGAAGCAGGTAGCAATGGTATTGTAATTGTTAAGAGAATTGTTTATCTTTTATTTTTTAATTGAAAAATCTTTCTCTGGCCAGCCTGTGGTGTGGTGATTAAAGCAGCTGGACCACACATGGCCAAATGGAGGTTCAAGTCCTGGACCTAAGAAACACTTTGGAGGGATGGTGTAATGGTTATGTCACTGGACTCCCATGTAGTCAACTGCAGTTTGAGTCCCAGATCCAGTGGTTTAAATTCACGCTGGGGGCATGTGCATGCCTGCCCAAGATGCTGAGAGAATGGAGAAAGAGGGATTGAGGCGTCTCATATTTCTGTCTCTCTGTCTCTGTCCTTCTGATGAGCACACATGCCCTATAGCAAAAACCTTTCAAAACAGAAAATAAAGGAACACTTTGGAAATGTGACTGTGTGCATGTCCAAAATCCCAAAAGGAGAGAGAAATGGAAAATGGATTGTGATGTGACCATTCTCCATGTGGGAGGTGCTTTCTCACTTTGTCTCTCTCTGGTGAGCATGCATGCCATCTGACAAAAACTTCTAAAAATATACTTTCAGATGATAGAGCCATGTGTGCATTCACATAATAGTGAGAGGGAGAGGACCACCCTCCACTGGGTCTGATCTCACCGCGATCCTCTTTCTAGTCGTCAGGTATTGGACATTGACATGCGTGTCCAGTGTGCTTCAGGCTTACTAGGTCCACGATTTGAACCATGGTCATCACATGGAACCTGGCTCCCCTTGAGCAGTGTGGCTGCACAGCTGTTTAAATCTAATGAATTTTTAAAAGTAATTTTTTTTTGGAGAAGTTTTTGCTATAGGGCGCATGCACTTGCCAGACAGAGAGAGACAGAGAGACAGAAAGCAAGAAATCACCCCCGAGGGGGAATGGCCATGTAGCAATCCCTTCTCCTCTGTTCTCCTCTCAGGATCTTGGGCATACACGCACACGTGCCCAGCATGAGTTTTAAGTCACTGGGTCCGGGACACGAACCACGGTCGACTATGTGGGAGTCCAGTGACATAGCCATTATGCTAACTGCTGGTCCCTAAAAGTAATTTTAATAATTAGAAATCAAATACGCTAAGGATATGGAATGATTCAAAACATGTTTAATGACTTTTAAGTATTGTATTTTTTATATCATCCAACAAGAAGTCTTACATTTTCAAGAACAATAGTTTAATGAGAGAGATTTTTAAGATATATTTTTATATATGATTATGTGTGTATGTGTATCTATGTACACACTTGCGAGAGAATAAGAGGAAAAGATGTGTCTGGTTACATTGTGACTCCCCTTCCTTCCCCAGTCCTCCAGCCTGTCAAATCCTGGCTGCTCCTACACATGCCCAGTGCATTTCAGGTAGGCTAGGCCAGGGATTCAGACGGGACTGGGATTTGAACTGAAGTCCCTATGTGGTATCCAGCTTCTCTCAAGCAGCACATTATTTTTGTGCCACAAATGTGGCCTGAGAGATACTTTTAATTAAGGATTTCAACTCTCATAGCACAATGAGCATGTTCTAGTGATTTATATTTGCATAGTCAATAAAGTATAGTTGACAAATTTTAGAGAATAAAATCATGAATGTAGCTTACGTTAATTTTTGTCTACTTAAAAAATAAGATAATTTATAGTTGATGTGAGCAATGCTTACAATATTTTTTCTTATATGGAAAAAATTGTAACTTTTGTGTCCTAAATATATCTATTGCCTGTATTATTTATTTTATTGGAATAATATGTCTCTTGGGTAATATTTCATCGACTAAATGTGTTAGTAGTCTATATTTTAAAATCTCCTACTTACATAAAGTCTCAAATGATAGTTTTATGGAAATATACATTATTTTTTTAGAGCAATTTGTGTTTATATATATATTTAAATATATTGATTAACAAAATGTATTCATTATATTTAGATTATGATTTAATACATTCATAAAGCTAAATTTGATTTGTATACCATCTTGAGTTTACTCCAGGTTTAAAACTCTAAAGCAAACAATTGGCTCAAATCCACATTTCATGTCCAGTGGACAATCCAGGACTGTGTCAAATATTCCTACACGTTGTAAATGCAATTCTTCTGATTCTACTTTTCTTCATGTGCTGGTATTTCTTCAATTTGCCATCTTTCAATGTATTCTTCTTTTGATTTGGACATGCACTCCAAACTAGGCATTCATTGCCTATTTCTTTTTTATACAAATTCCCCCGAGCCTTTCCTCAATAATAACTCAATAGAATATCACTGACCATACCTGTTAGTCTATTGTGTTGCTAATAATAGAAATACCTGAGTCTGGGCACTTTATAAAGAATAAAGGTATATTTAGCTTATGATTTTGGAAGTCCAAGGTAAAGAAGCTACATCTGGGGACCAGCAGTTAGCATAATGGCTATGTCGCTGGACTCCCATGTAGTCGACCGCAGTGAGTTCCGGACCCAGTGGTTTAAAACTCATGCTGGCTGCGTGTGCATGCATGGCCAGGATCCCAAGAGGAGAATGGAGGAGAAGAGAGTGCAGCATGGCTATCCCCCCAGGTGGGGGATTTCTCACTTTCTGTCTCTCTGTCTCTCTGTCTGGTGAGCTCACGTGCCCTATAGCAAAAACCTCAAAAAAAAAAAAAAAAAAAGAAGAAGCTACATCTGTTGAGGGTGTTCTTTGCAAAGTCCGGAGGCAGCTCAGAGCATTACATGGCAAGAGCTTGAGCAGAGCATGAGTGTACTTGTCTATATCCCTGTCCATATTGTCTAATCAACCCATGAGTATCCAATTGTAGAGGTATCACCCTGACGCTTATCTCCTCCTAAGGTTTCCACCTCTCAATACCATCATCTATTTAAGTCTTTACTCCCTTAGTCATGTCAAAACTAAATTTGAACACAGGAATTTTGGGGCACATATTCAAACCTTAGTAATAACCAATAATAATTATCAGTAGCCACATTATTCATAATAGCTAAAAGCCCATCAGCTAGTAAATGGATAAACATGGTATGTCCATACAATGGAATATTATTCAGTAATATAAAAGAATGGAATAGTAATTCATACTACAACATGTTTGAATTTGAAAAACATTGTGCCAAGTAAAATAAATCAGTCACAAGAGATCACATATTTTATTATACAATTTATATAAAATATTTGGGGTAGTTAAATCTGTAGAAACAGAAATTAGATTAGTGGTTGTCTAGTATTAGTTGGGAGAGGGGAAGAGAGTAGTGGTGATCACTAGACGATACTCTGTGTTGATGATGAAGATATTCCAAGTTCATAGTGATAATTTCATGATTGTGAATGTACTCAAAACCATTGGTTGTAAACTTTACATTAATGAATTGTATCATACGTGAATTACATCTCAATAAAGCTGTTATTAGAGTGCGTCACATATCACACAGTCTTTGTGTTGTCAGCCACCAAAATGGAGATTTTAATTGAACTATTGTGGTTCAAAGATTATGTGCAAACAGTTTAAAAATGAAAATACAGCATGTCAGTTCTTACCAAGCTTAATTCAGCTAGCCATTAAGTACAGCTTTAGATTTTTCTTCATTTTTGAAGAAGTTTTTGCTATAAGGCGCATACACTCACCAGCAAGACAGAGACAGAGAGACAGAAAGTGAGAAATCACCCTCCCCCCCAGGGGGAATGGCCACGCCACAATCCCTTCTCCTCCATTCTCCTCTCAGGATCTTGGGCACGCATGCACACGTGCCTGGCGTGAGTTTAAACCACTGTGTCTGGGATTCGAACCTTGGTCAATTACGTGGGAGTCCAGCAACATAGCCGTCATGCCAACTGCTGGTCCCCAGTTTTAGACTTTCCTTGAATGACCAAAGACTCATTAAGGCTCTCTGGCATCTTTCTCTGTTTCATTCTCTTTCTCTACCTACCAGCATCTATCTAGGGAAAGCAAAAGTATTGAATATAATTTTCCATTAACATAAAATACTGCCGTAACACACTTCAACTTTATTTCTGCACCTTTACTGCAAAAAAAGGTAATAGTAACTATACAGAGAGTTGGTCTTAAAGTTTCTGTTTTAATTACACAATGTCTGATCATAGAATGAGCATTTTGACTTTTGAATAGAACAGATGAGACTAAACCATCATTATCTATTATCTCTGAGTTATGTGGGTAGAAGCAGAAGTAACTCTTGAGTTACGTGGGTAGAAGCAGAAATATCTTAATAAAGGAAGAGGATGAAGACAGTTTATAGCTAAAAGCTATGCGCATTACTTGATCAAATTGTGTTTGATGGGATATTTTGCAGAAACCTATTTTAATCTTTTCTGTACAATCTTTTTTCTTCTTTTTGCCAGCTTTAGATCCAGCTAAAGATCCATGCTTAAAGATGAAATGTAGTCGCCATAAAGTATGCATTGCTCAAGATTCTCAGACTGCAATCTGCATCAGTCACCGGAGGCTTACACACAGGTAAACACGTTTAAATTAAACCCCACTGATGGAACAGTACTCCTTACCACAAATAACTGCAGAGTATAAATATTTGGCAGTGTCTGCTAATCTTTTATGCAGAGTTTTATTGAAATAGTATCAGAAGCTTGGGTAATGCAATTGTGATTCACTTGGGCTAAATATAGATATCAGTCAGAATTACTATGGATTATAGAATTTCGGGCATATATTATTAAATAAGATGGATTTTGTAAGGACTGGATTAAAATATTATATCTGGATATTTGTACTTTTTCAAGCTTAAGAAAAAATTTACAGTTTTGGTACACTAAATATTTTTTTTCTTACGGCTACTCAAACATCCCCATTTCCTTCATGGACGAATAAGAAACAAAATTCAAAGGGAAAAAGAAATGGATTGATGTTCATAGAAAGAGATTAAAAGTCACAGGGTAGAGATTTGGGACTGGGGCACTTCGGGACACCTTCCTTGTGAATGACTCCTATTGGTGGTGCTTCACCATTTAATCCTGGAGGCTGACACAGAATTTTCAGAGAAGGAAAAAGATTTTAAATATCTTTTAGAGAAGTTATCATGGCTTCTGTAAAGTAGACTGGGCTTTTAGGTGGGTCAGTAATTTGGAAATAGCCTGTGTATTTGGGTGATATCATATGGATTAAAACATGCCACAGACAAAGGTAAATTCCTGGGGCAACTGAGTGAAGTGATCAGGTATATTCATTTCCTCATTACTTTTAAAGTAATTCTTTCTGGGAGAACACTCTTTTCTGTAATGGTGGACTTAATGCAGGTGTTGCTTTTAAATAAAATGAACAAGAAAATATTGCTCTTTGGGTATGCTCCAAGAATAATTGGATTTTTGGCTTTAGTGTACTTGCATATAAATTCTATTATTCAAGCACACCAACAGACAAAATAACAACATAAGTAGCATTTCTAGAAAACCATGAATATTTAAGTTTCACTAATATTTCTTATTAATACAAACATATATGTATATATATACACATATATATGTATATAGAACCTATATAGAAATCATATTAATTAATCATTTAAAAAATAAAATATTGATATATGAACTTATGTATGTGGGGGGAGGTGAGTATTTTAATTTGAGAAATAAATAAAAAGATGGTGTCAAAAGCTCACGTATAATCCTTTACCTCAGTTGCAGAGACTTAATCAGTTCATTTCATATAAAAGCTAAAACTGTTTTATCACAGGTTCCAGAGACCCTGGGAAAGATTCCCATCTACAGTACTCACATTTAATGCCTCTGAAAAGTTCCATCGGCCATTTTCCCCCTGGTTCCCTGAATCCAAGTCAAAGAGCGATGGAAGATCTCACGGTTAATTTCATAGCTCAGGCAGAGTCCTGCCACTTTGGACATTTGCTGAATACTGAAGCTAAGAGAAGTTAAAGTAGCTGACTCAAATTCACAAACCAAGGAATTTGCAGAACATCAATTCTATTCTATATTTATTGACACAAATATCTACTTTTTTTTTTTTGCAGCCCTGCTGCCTTATTGTTTTTTTTTTTTTTTTAACTTATTACTGTCAAAAACTTAACTACACACAACATGAAACTTACTTAACAAGATAGACTATCAGAAACCAATAACCAAAGTATTCCTTAGTATCACAGTGAAGCTGGGCTAGCCCCAGCCTACTGATTAAGGGAGCTGGATTCCACATTGCCTACCACGGTTTGAATCCCTGCCTCCTTGAATTTAAAAACAAACTGGGAGCACGTGTGTGTGTGCCCAAAATACTGACAGGAAGGAAACATGAAAGTGAAGGGATTGTGACCATGCTCTACTGGAGGGGCCCTTTCTTCTGTCTCTTTGTCTCTCTCTGTCTAGTACACATGCCCTCTGTCCATTAAATATATATAGTGAGGCGTTCTGAATAAAAAGCCACTGATGGCTTTGTCGTTAATATAGTGGTGAATTGAGGCCATGTGAATGACTACTAAAATAGGTAAATTTTAAATTATTTTATATAAATAATATTTAGTCTTGTTCAGTTTCTGAGACTACTTAAAAATCTGTACTCCATGTACACTATATTCAATAAATAAATAACAAGTTTCCAAAGAACTGATAATAAGATTAATATTTGATGCACTTTATTTGCTTTGTGGATGTCAGTACATAGTGAATATTTATACACCACTTAGGGAAGAAGAGCTTTGCCAAGTAGTTTGATCAATAAAGATGGCTAATATAAATAATCTAGGTCTCAGATATCAGGATTGTCTGTTTTTTTGGGGGGGGTTGGGTAGAAAACTCAAAGAAAGAAGGCTTAGTCAGTCAATGTTGGCTATTTATATAGTCTAGATTAGAAATTGCTGTTATTTTTCATCTGAAGGAACTACTATTTATTTTCTCCTCTTGACTCATTAAAAAAAAAAGAGAGAGAGAGGCTGGTGGGTAGCATGGTGGTTAGAGCCACTAGACTCCCATATAGCCGAACGCTGTTCAAGTCCCGGACCTGGTGGCTTACTTTCTCACTTTCCTTCTCTTTCTCTCTCTTGCTCTTGTCCTCACTCTTGCTCAGTTCTTCTCTGGTCAGATTTAAAGAAGTAAATAAATAAATATAGCTAAAATAAAATAATTCTTTAAAAACAAACAAAAATAAAAGGAAATGGAACCTGCAGTCTGTTTCCGAAGGGGAGCACAGCTTTTCAAAGAATCCTTCTTAAGCTCCTTTTTCTAAAACTAGCTATCACACTCTTTTCTCCTTTATCTTAGAACCTTACACTTCTCTCCTTGTAATGCTTACTACATTTGTACTAACTCATCTGATGTGAGTCTCCTTTAAATTACTTGAAATCTCATGAAAGTAGTGTCTGTTCACTATTTTAACCTAGACCTTGACAGATTGACTAGAACATATTTATTTTGAGCATTTCAGTGAAACATCTGCTATTTGTAGAACATTCAGAGAGGAAAAATTTGAGAAGTAGTTTGATTGAAATAATCAGTTGAGATTATCTAGATCTAAACATTGTTTATAATATGTGCCTTGTATATAGGTGTTGAAAGTGAGTTCAAAAGGGAATAGTTGACTACTGTCAATTAACTTATTTTTAGACAGAGATTTTCATGGGCATTGTGTGCTTGCCAGAGAGACAGAGAGAAACAGACAGAAAACACAAAATTACCCCCCAGGTTTGAAGGCCATGATGCAATCCCTTCTCCTCCATTTCCTTCTCAGGATTTTGGGTATGATTGCAGACGTGCCTACTGTGAGTTTCAAATCACCAGGTCTGGAATGCAAACTGCGGTTGACTACATGGGAGTTCAGCAACATAACCATTACGCCATCTGTTGTAATTAACACTTTTTAAAAATATATTGGAAAAAATGAATGAATACATGATTTACAAATGATGGGAATTCATAAAAATTTCTTTTAAGAAACTGCTAAGTCCTTGTCTTAAATTTGTAAATAATTGAATTAATTAATAAACATCTTCCTTAGTGCTATAAATGACAATTATCTTCCTAAATCAGGGAAATATGAAGTGTCTTAAAAAGTTCATAAAATGAATATCATGAAAAACATTATTTAAAAATTGCAAATATTTTGCATTAAAACAACTTGTACTTTAATTCCATTTATCCACAAACTTCTTCTTTTAGTTATTTATTTTTTTGGAGAGGTTTTTGCTATAGGGCGCATGTGCTTGCAAAACAGACGGAGAGAGACAGAGAGACAGAAAGTGAGAAATCACCCCCCAGGGGGAATGGCAACGCCACAATCCGTTCTCCTCCATTCTCCTCTTGGGATCTTGGGCACGCACACACATGTGCCCGGCATGAGTTTAGGCCACCGGGACCGGGACTCGAACCGTAGTCGCCTACATGGGAGTTCAGCAAAATAGCCATTATGCTAACTGCTGGTCCCTCCACAGACTTCTTGGAGTACCCTCGTAGCATGATCAGGTAACTCCATATGTGATTTATACTAGCTTGAAACCCTATTGCCAATGTAGAGAGGATGGTGTAAATGATCTGAATATATCACTGTCAAAGTCATGTATTTACATATTGTCTCCCAGCAGCTTTTCCTGTGAAGACTTGGCTTCAAACCAGAGTCTTGCCCTCATGTTCTTGTGTGCTAACTTTCTATTACCATTTTTTTTTTAATTTTTATTTTTTAAAGGTTTTTGCTATAGGATGTGTCCGCTCGCCAGAAAGACAGAGAGAGACAGAGAGACAGAAAGCGAGAAATCACCCCCAGGGGGGATGACCACACTGCAATCCCTTTTCCTCTACTCTCCTCTCAGGATCTTGGGCATGCACACACCTGTGCCCGGCATGAATTTAAGCCACTGGATCCAGGACTCAAACCATGGTCAACTATATGGGAGTTCAGCAACATAGCCATTGTGCTAACTGCTGGTCCCTCTATTACCATTATTTATTTTATTTTATTTTATTTATTTTTAAGTTTGTACTATAGAGCACACATGCTTGCTGGAGAGAGAGAGGGAAAGTGAGAAATCACCCTCAAGGAGGGATGACCCCACCATAATCTCTTCTCTTCCAGTCTCCTCTCATGCCTGGCAGGATTGTCAAGCTGCCGTCGTGGAACTAGAACCGTGAAACTGGCCATGTGGGATTGAGCTGCTTTAACATCCACACTGTCTGCTGGCCCTCTATTACCGTTATTATTACCAGTTAAGTCAAATAGTTTTCTGCACAATAAGAACCGTAACCGGAGCACATTTTCCCAATATGGTAACATAACCAATTATTCAAATAGTCTAATAATAAATATACGATGGGTTTTTCAGCCTATGAATAAAATCTGCTTCTTATGTCGTTAACCTGTGAAAAAGTTCTGCGGATGCTGAGAGCTGAGGGCTTTCTGTTTCATTGTTTTTGGGTATTGTGAACAAGAAGCACAATGTTTCATGTTCCCTGGCTGCCTGTGCAGCTGCAGATAATTAACA